AGGAGGAGGAGGAGGAGGAGGAGGAGGAGGAGGGGGAGGGGGAGGAGGAGGAGAAGGCGGAGGAGGAGGAGGCGGAGGCGGAGGCGGAGGCGGAGGAGGAGAAGGAGGAGGTTGAGGTCGAGGAGGAAGAGGAGTTTGGGATCCGAGTGAACCCCGTTTCTCACTTGAGTAAGGCCGAGCGTGAGAGAGCGCCTTCCTCTGCAGGACCACCAAAAAGGGGTCGTCAAGGTGGTCAAACGCCTCGCTGATTAAGCCGACGATCATGTGCAAAGTCCAACCATTCGCTTATGTCCAAGTTTTGGCTTGACGCCAGCTTTGGTCCATCGATTTCAGCTTGACGGAAGGTTGGTTGCGCCCCTTGACGTCCGTTTGGGGCGTTCTGCAGACCTGACCCTAAATCTACTCAATTTCTAATCGAGCCCAGGGGTCTCGGCCAGAGGGCTGTCGTCTTCCCTGGGACAAGCCCGCGGCTTTCGGGGGGAGGGGCGAACCCGCGGGCAATTGCATCTCGCCCCACGAAGTTGACCGCCGAGGCCTCTGGGCACCTTCCTGGGCAACGCCACGGGGGGACTGGCCCAGTGGGGATGGAAGCATCGGAGGGGAGGGCGGACCCAAGGGGGTCAACCGAGGCGAGGTCGTCAACGAAAGAGGGTACATTCGTCGCGAGTTGTCTATCGCGAAGGCCAGCGACCACAGCTGGGGAGGTAGACAATAAATCAACGGGGTCGCCAAATCATCCCACCATATATGAACTCCGAGCTCGCGAACCTCCATCTCTCGGAAGCGCAAACATGGATGAGAGCGTGTGGGTTCGCCACGGGCCTCGGATCTGGCGCCTACGCGCCATATCCACGGATCCTCAACCGATTTTATCGTGCGCTCGGCGCAGGGTGGGGGGACGCATCGATCCCAATCGCCCATTTCTCGCCGATAGGGGCCTGGGCGCCCAATCCTGCGCAGGAACGTGCAGTTCTGCTATCGAGGGTCTGTCGCCGATCAAGCCCCTCTGAGCCAGTCCCCCCTTTCCTGCCCTCGCAGACTTCTGAAGACCACCTCCAGAGATCTTTGGGGACGGCAACCGGCGGCGGCGTCATCGCCAATGTGGGGTTCGCGAAGATCATACCAGCCTCATCGAGATCGGGTGGACTTTCCCCCGCGACGGAGGCGACTGTCGATATCGGTGTCGGTGCCAACGTGTTGGCGTCTGGTGTAGCTGGCGCGAGGTAGAGACCGGGCCGAGGGGGAGGGAGGCATGTTGCCTCCCCCCCCTCGCCCTTGTTGCCTGCTCGTCCTTGGCACTCCCTGCTCCCTTCTTCCTGCCTGCCTCCGTCCGCCCCCCTCCCCCTCTCCTCCCTCCCTCCCACTCCGCTCCTCCCTTCTCCCTGCCTGCTTCCTCGTGCTTCCTCCTCCCTCTTCCTCCCCCCCTCGGAGGTGTGCCCTTTTGTGCTCTCCGCGCTCTTTGGGCCCTCCGCCCGGGAGGGCTTCTCCTTCCGGGCGTGTCTCCCTCGGGGGGGGCCGGCCGCCGGCGCCCCGTGCGCGTGTTGCCCGCGTTGCCCGTGGGAGTCGTGCCTGGGCTGCACACCTTGACGGGCCCTGCCCGGAGGACCTGGACGAGATGTGCCACGACATCCCCTGCGAGGTCGACGAGGAGAGCCCTTCGCCTGCCAGTGGGGGTCGGCCCCGTGGGGGTCAGGGAGAGGTCGGCTCAGCTCTGAGGTGTTCTTGATCCGGGGCCGTGTTGGGAAGGCGTGACGGCTGGTGCCGCCGACCCTGAAGGGGGACGACGATGGCGAAAGGTTGGCGGCGGCGGCGGCGACGACGACGCTAGCGCTTTGGGGGCTTTTTTTGGCTCTCTTGGGAGCCTCTGGGGCTCTGTTGGGGGGTCTCTTGGGGGACTTCTTGGAAAGCCCCGTGGCCACTTGGAGCCGCCTCGGAGCGCAACTGCGGCCTTTCGGAGGCGTCTGGGGGAACGCGCAGCACCCCGCAGCAGCAGATAAGGGAGTGAGGAGGGTGCCTCCTGGGGAGGGGGGTGTCGGGAGGAGGTGGGGGGCTGTGGTCCCCTGGTCCACAGGGGGGGGAAGCTGGGGGAGGGGTCCCGAGTGCCCCTGGGCACAGGGAGCCTGCTGCCCCGTCCCTCCCTTGTCCACAGGGGTGACCCCCCCGGAGGGGGGAGGCCGGGGCCCCCGGGCCCCCACCCCCCCGTGGGACCCTTCCGAGCGACCCCCGGTTGCTGCTCGAGCTATGTCCATCTCGAGATTCGGAGCAGCTACGGAGGTTTCGCGTGTACCAATCCCTTCAGCAGCATCGAAAGCGTTAGTCCAGAGGCTCGAGTAACCTGAGGTCGGTTTGCTGCTCGAGCTATGGCGGAAACACCATTCGCACAACAAATGATTATACCCCCCCGCAGGGAAGGGGCTGCCCTTCGAATCAATGCAGAGGGCGGGGAGGAGGGCACAAGGAAAGGGCGGGAGAGGCGACGGCGACGATGACGATGACGGCTCAAACGGGAAGAACGTCTCTCACACACACGCCGACAGGGTCGGTGGGTTTTGATCACAAGCTTTTCCTTCATGGGTTTTCCCGATGTAATTGCTTGAGAAATGTGGGGCCCGGGCCAGTATTTTTTCAGAAGCTACTATTTCTGTAGTTTACCTTTCGCTGACTCTGACCCCAAGAAGTTCGACCCCCGTTAGCAGCCCAATGAGGAGTTGCATGGCCAGCTCGCGGCGGAGGGCATCTCGGCGCCCATTGCCAGGCATGTGGCGCACCTCTTCACGCGAGACCCATTGGTGGCGTTCGAGGGCGCCGTGGCAGAGGTGGACGACGAGTCCTCCACGGAGCATTTCGAGAGCATAAACTCCACGAATTGGCAGTCCATGCGCTGGAAGCCGCCCCCCCCGCCCTCCGACAGCTCTCCGCACATCGGCTGGAGGACAGAGTTCCGTCCGATGGAGGTGCAGCTGACAGACTTTGAGAACGCGGCCTTCACCGCTGTCACCGTGCTCCTGTCGCGGGTGCTGCTGGTGTTCAACCTCGACGTGCTGATCCCGCTCTCGAAGGTGGACGAGAACATGAAGCGTGCGCACCAAATGGGTGCCGTGCGCACACAGAAGTTCTGGTTCAGGAAGCACGTTCTTCCATACGGCGACTGTGGCGGGTGCGAGTCGATTGAACGGCCCCAAGGCGACGATAGTGAAGAGATGACAATGGACGAGATCATGAACGGAAAGGGGGACTATTTCCCGGGTCTGATCCAGTTGTGCTATGCTTACCTGGAGCACATTGCCTGCGACGCGACCTCGTTTGCACGCATCCACCAGTACCTCTCATTGGTAAGGAGACGAGCTTGCGGAGAGCTGCTCACTCCTGCGGCGTGGATGCGGCAGTTTGTGCTTAAACACGCGGAGTACAAGAAAGACTCGGTGATTTCTCCTGGGATTGCTGTGGATCTCATGACTACGTGCGACGAGATCGGGCGCGGCGTACGCCCATGCCCAGAACTTCACGGCGATGTGGCCATCGACCCCGTCATCAAG